GCAATACAAGTCCTGGTCCCAATCTCAATATTCAAAAGCTGTGAGGACTTTCCATTACACCAAACTCCCAAATTTGTGACCACAGTGAGAAGTACAATCACTAATGTAACAAATAAGTGAGGTTTAATAATTAGCACATCTGCTGGCTCAATTGTAACAACTCAAAAGCAAGCTATAAAAAGAAATTGGCCTTATAAACATACTTAAACTACAAATAGATTTTGTTTTTTTATACTCACTGCAACAAAGCTTTGCACCAGAACTCTTGGACCTTTATGAACTCACTAAACATTAAAAGAAAGCATCCTCAAAGACATGGGTAAAAACCCTACACACACTTTTATAGTATTAATACCTCTGTGTGACAGAATATATAGGTGATTAGAAAATATTTTTCAAAGCCAATTTAAAACATCTTATGTAAAATTTACCATTTGACAAGTAATTTTCACTAGAAGGCCTGAGATTAACTGATCAGCCTTACTCAAAAGTGGCCAACACCTGGAGATGATTGATCTAATTCAATTCTGAGTGAGGAGTTGTTTCCTACTGAAGGTATTCAGTGTCCTGGGCTCTGCACAGCAGCCACCTTGACAACATGTCCATTAAAGCAACCAAGATGAGATTAAATATTTGAGGCTTCCTTCATTTCTTTTTGCTCACAAATTCCTACTCTCTTGAGTTTCAGCATAAGCATTATTAACTTATGATAGATTGAAAAACCTTACCCACATCCTTTTCCTCAAGATAAGCAGGAAATGGGAGGCGAGGATAATGGAGGTCTTAGTTTTTCCTCAGCTGTTTACAACTTCCTTATGTTGGCTAAGGTTTCTCTAAGAATCTAGCATTTAACTATCAAGTAGTCTTAATTTGGGGAGGTACTGTGAGATTTTGATTTTTAGATGTTCATGTGAAATGTAAACTTGATCAATGCAATGAACTTTGGTGGACGATTAAAGGGCATCAAGATACAAAGCAAGCTCATTTATGGATCAGCTTGAATTTAACAAAATGGCAGGTGGTTAAAATGTTCTTTTTTTTTAATTTTATGAAGGACTTCATAGAACTTGGTGGATATGCAGAGACTGCTAAGAAATGGCAGACACTAACATGACGGGAATCCATTAAAAAGTGTCCACAGTTAATAAAAGTTTGTACAGGGGTGCCTGGCTGGCTCAGTTGGCAGAACGTGTGACTATTGCTCTTGGGGTTATGAGTTTGAGCCCCATGTTGAGTGTAGAGATTACTTTAAAAAATTAATTAAAAAAAAAGGTTTGCATAGTGGTTAAGGGCAGGGGCTCTAGTGCCAATCTTTGTGGTATTGTTTGTATGATGTTGGGAAAATAATTAAGCATCTCTATGCCTAAATTTTCTCATCTACAAACATTTATCGCCTACATTATTCTAGGAATCATACTAAGCACTTTGGGGATTCAAAGATAATCACTATGTATTTTACTTTCAAAAATTTTTAAAACCTAGTTGGAAATGGAAGCAGTAGCTGAGTACTTATGAGAGAAATACTCAAAGAGCATGGACCCTGGGGCAAGCCTGCCTAGACTGGAACTCCAGCTCCACCACTTTCTTTGAGAACTAGAGCAAGTTAGGAGTTCCCTGAGCTTCGGTTTCCTCATTTCTAAAATGGTGATAATATTAGTATTTAGTGATGTGTTAGATTGTTTCTGAAAACTAAATATGTTTAATATAAACAGCTCATCAAAACCACAGTGAGATACCACTTCACACCTACTGGAATGGCTATTACCAAAAAACAAAAAAACCCAGAAAATACCAAGTGTTGCCAAAAATGTGGAGAAACTGGATCCCTGGAGCATTGCTGGTGAGAATGTAAAATGCACAGACCCTGTGGAAAACAGTGTAGTGGTTTCTCAAAAAATTAGACACAGAGTTACTTTATGACCCAGCAATTCTAATTCTAGGTATACATTTACAAGAAGTGAAAGCAGGGACTCAAATAGCTCTTTGTACAGCCATGTTCACAGCAGCATTATTCACAGTAGCCAAAGTTGGAAATAACACAAATACCCACCAACAGATGAATGACAGATGGATATGGAATATACATGCAATGGAATATTAGTCAGCCTTAAAAGAAATGAAATGCTGATACATGCTACAACATGGATGAACCCTGAAAACAGTAAGTAAAATAAGCCAGAAATATAAAACAAATATTTTATGACCACTTACATGAGGTCCCTAGAAGAGTCAAATTCCTAGAAACAGAAAGTGGTGTGGTGGCTACCAAGGGCTGGGAGAAGGGGTAAACGGTGTTGCTGTTTACTGTTTAATGAGTAGAGATTCAGTTTGGGATGATGAAAATATTCTGGAAACGTCTAGCACTGACAGTTGTACAACCTGAATGTTAATGTCACTAAACCATACACTTAAAAATGGCTAAAATGGTAGGGGCAACTGGGTGGCTTAGTTGGTTAACTGTCAGACTTTGGATTTTGGCTCAAACATAGTCTCATGGTTCATGTGTCCATCTGCACAGGCTGTCAGAGCCTGCTTGGGATTCTTTCTCTGCCTCTCCCCTCTCTGTCTCTCTCTCAAAATAAATAAACTTAAAAAATTGGCTAAAATACTCAGCACAGAGTCCACTACCTAGTCCACTACAGAGCCAATAAACATTGGCTATCCTTAGTGCTAAAAGACTTCAGGAGAGAAAATTGTTTATAGCCAGTAAATCATAAATGTAGGCAAGAAGGTACCATCAGAAATAGGATTAAATAAACCGGTAAGATAGGTAACAGTTATATTAATTATATCAGTACTTTATGAATCAAAAATTAGACATTAAAATGACAGGGGCTTACAAATTCTTTTGTCAAAATTTAAAATAATAAATTGACAACTATTGTGCGGTTATATTGATAAAAATATAAAACCTGCTCTCAAGGAGCTTATAATCCAGTGAAGGAGTCTGAAACACAAAGAGGTAAGCATGGAAAATTAAAACACGCAACGATCAAACAAAGCCTCTTACCTATATTTACATTTTAATGGATAGTTTGCAGTAGTTGATATTATACTTAAAAATCTGTAAAAAAAACTCTGGTTACATTTTACATATCATCCTTGCCCAGAGGCCCTGCTGATATTCCAGTATTAGTATATGTGCTGCTAAAGCAAGCCCTCTGGTTACATTTTTCCATACTATCCTATTTTTCCCCAATCCCACCACCCATTTCTCCTTTCCACTTATTTCTCTCTTCTACTAGAAACCTAACTATGCCTTTCAGCCTTACTCTTTAGTTTCTTCCACTCAGCAAAATCAATGAAATCATATTGAAAAACAAAAATAATAAATTAAGTTACAAAATATAAAATTGCTGGTAATTCTAATAGTTTTAACCCATAAAAGCAGCAATTTCACATGGTTCAACATTATGATGCCAAAGTCCTTAAGATTTTTAAATCTGAATTTTATATATTCAGAAATTAAGTACAACAGCAGTAATAAAACTTCACATTGGCAAGTGAACTGTTGATTTCCAACTTATAAATCTGAGAACTTTTTCTCATACCTAAAGCCTAACAATCTGATCTAAATCTGGTCAACCTTTCTGTCATTATCAGTCACTTATTGAAATATTTAAAGTTTCATTTCTATTTGGAACCCACCTTGAAGTCTTTATCCTGGGTTTCTAAGAATGACGATATTACTATTAGACTTGAGATGATTAACATTTAATGCCTACATCTCACCTGGGTGACCCATCATACAACAGAATAAACTAAGAAAAAGAAAGGGGAGATTGATGCACACAACATGGATTGATCTAAAAAACATATGGAGTAGAAGAAGGTACGTATTGTAAGATTCCGTTTATATGAATTCTAAGAAAAATACATCTAATCAACAGCAATAAGAACCAGGTCTGTGGCTGTCTAAAGATGGGGCAGAGAAATTGCCTGGTAAAGGGGCATATGGTAACTTTTGGGGATGATGGAAATGTTCTCTGTCTTGAGTAAGGTGACTTTGTTGGCAGGGATATACATTTGTCAAAACGCAATGAAACTTACACTTTAAATGGGTGCATTTTATTTTATATAAGCAGTAAACTTCAATAAAAATGATTCACATGAAAGAAAATACATCGTATTTTTAATTTTAATTAAAATCTAATTATAATTACAAATGAAACATAAATATCTGATTTTTAAAAAATTAATGTATTATGGATAAAGCTAAAGTCTTCTTTGATTACCTTCTCAATCCTGGTTTTCACTCCTAACCTCTCCCATCTATAACTCCTCCCCTAAATAATCACTATTATTAATCTGGTTATGGGTTCTTCTAAATCTTTAAAAGTGTATTTACATACATATATGGTCACAGAAAGCATAGTACTGTACTGTACATAAATATAACTTGTATCTATCTTTCTGCAGCTTGCTATTTTCACTTAGCATTATATTTCTGAGATGTATCCATGTTAATCTAGATAAAATTTCTTTTAAGTCCAATAATCTATCATGTGACTACTCCATATTTTATTTAACCAGGCCATTTCCCTTCTAACAGATATTTAGGTTGTCTTTCCCTATTACAATTTACCAGAATAGTGGTAAATAGTAGTTCCTGGGGTGGCCACAGGGATTACAGGTGGTGTTCCCAAGGGGACATTAACCTAACTGAAAAGTTTAACTTTTTAAAGTGAGTATGTATTTGTGTATTATTTAAACAGTTTAAGTACTGACTTTAATTAAAGAATTTTCTGATACATAAATTATCACAAAGAATGAAATAAAATCAGTAATAGGAAGCAATCATCTATTAAAATATAAGTAAAACAAAGTTATAGGGCATAATAGTGTACTCATAGTTAGATACATAAGTACTTACTGAAAATTAGTAATCTAAGCACTTAAACAAGTCACAGAAACACATTCTTCTACTCAAAGCAATTGTAGTTAAAATATTGGCATATTGGTTATCATGGCATAAGCATAATTAATACATGCACTAATACCTCATTTATATTTTTTGCTTTCTTCTTTTATGACTATGATGTCTTTCCCCATCCCTGAAATGATAGGAGTGGAAAAAAAAGATTACAAATGATGGGCATTTTAATATCAGAATGTTAAAATGATAATTCACCAATAATATACTTTTGAACAAGTTAAAACATGCATTCAGAACTAAACAGTAATTTTTTTTTTTTTTTATTAAGTAAGCTGTATGCTCAACATGGAACTTGAACTCATGATCCTGAGACCTAGAGTCACATGCTTTACCAACTGAGCCAGCCAGATGCCCCTAAACAGTTGTTTAAGAGTAAGTGTGGAAAATGAATCATTAAAACTAAGGGACAAAATTGCCATGGGACAAGCAAAATGATATATTTTTTAAACTACATTTTGGAGTTTTGCTTTAAAATTGATTTTGAATATACATACACGAGGAGGAGAGAATTCATTTCAAATAAAATATTAAAGTCATAGAAAGAATTCAGAAATCGTCTGATATCTCTATGCTGGCTCCTATCTCAGCCTCCTACAATTCATTCCACCTCAAGTGTAGATATCAAAGATTAGCCCTGCACTACTACTGAGAAGGATGCATTTCCACTAACACTCAGTTTATATTTAAACTCTAAATATATCCTCTCTAAAGGAAAATTATTTCATGTTTATATTTGAGGCTAATGTATTTAAGTCCTAAAAATTGATCAGAGATGCCAAAAATTACTCAAATGGAAGAAACATTAACCATAAGAAGTAAAAGAATACAGTAAGTCTGATAACTAAAAGTTTATTTTTGTATAATTATTTAAAAATATCATTCATTATATGAATGAAAAGGAACTGCTGAACAAATATTTCATTTTTTAAGAAAAGAACAAAATCATAGCTAGCTGGAAATCCATGAAATAAATGACACTAAGATGAACAAAATTATTGAACCAATAAGCATTGCTAATTCCTGATCACTATGGGCCCTGGAGAGAGACAAGGTATCATTTGAGAAGCCATTCTTAGACAAACACTGTACATATGTTACTAAGTAAGATATCATCAAAGTGACTTCAAGGAGCTAAGTCTGGTAGGGAGAGTAATAATGTAAGTTCAATAAAAAGAACATGCGAGACAGAGTGCTGACAAATGGGAGAGATCAGCTGTGCCTCAGTGAGAACAGGTTTCATGGAAATGACTAACCTGGGTCTTAAGGGACAGGGACGAGTTTACCAAGCAGGCTTTAAAAAATAAAAATCAGGCAACAGAATCTGACACAGAAAGGCATAAATGTGGCACCATATAGACGAGGAACTGTAAGTATTTCGGGCTGGCTAGAGCATAATTTTGGCATTTAATGGGGTTGTGGCAAAACACAAGGATGGGTAGGCAGTGCCCTTATCCCAGAGGGCTTGGGAGCCATTCTACACAATGTGAATTTTGACACTGAAAAGTTTTAAGAGTGAAAGTCCACTCTGGCAGTAGAGTAGGGATGTCTCCATATGAGACAAGCTTACGGGCAGGTAGAACAATGAGGAAAACTATCATTTTCCAGATGGACAGCAGTAAGGACAGAGACAAGGAGGTGCAAGTGAGGTTATCAGGTAAAACTGATAGCCATTAGGAACTAAATGGTAGGAATAAAAAAGAAACAACTAAAACAACTCCTTGATTTCTGCTTAGGTGAACAGACGATGGTCATCCCACTCATCAGAATATGGAATGCTGGGGAAGAGGGAAGAATGAGAAAAAGTAAGTTCAATTAGAGACCTGAAGAATGTGAGATTCAGGCAGATGCCCAGAAGCAGCTGGACTATAGGAATTGACCACAAATGACTTAAATTTATTATTTTAGTATTAGTTCATATTCTTCTAGCCATTAAATCCTATGAGGGTTATTAACAAGGGCAAAACTGACTTGACATTAAAGTTTGGATCTTATCTCTGACCCCACATACCCTTTAACCCTGGAATTAGCAGGAGGAAGAAACAGTAAGAAAAAGGAGGGAGGATGGAGCACAAGAAAGAGATCTCGGCAAACACCTTGTTGACACAGTTAACCTCCTACCTAGACATTACTTGCACATGTCCTGTCTAGGAAACAAGGATTAAAAGAGGGAAACCCACATCCAATCAAGCATATAGAGAACTATACCACCAGAGCTGTGGTCATTTGAACCAAGATAAGACAAATGATAAGAATTCTTATCATTTATCTACTCTCTTTACTGTAATTTACTCTTATAATCCATTTTCTCAACATACTCTACAACAGAAGGATCTACTTACTTTTCAAAAGTAAACAATTCAACATCAGATGATGCAGTGTTAGATTTACCTCTCTTTCCTTCTTCTTGAGTCCCAGTTTTTATCCTTATCTTTATTTCTCTTTCTTTTATGTGGACTCCTACTCCGATCCCTTCTATGTCGTGAACACTCAGCATCCAAATAGCTTCCACCAGACTGCCGTGAATCTACTGAAGCTGATCGCCTTTCTTCATTCCTGAAACACAATTAAGAACAGTTAATTTTTTTAAATTTACCGTTTATTTTATTTTTAAGAGAGACAGAGCGTGAGCAGGGGTGGGACAGAGAGAAAGGGAGACAGAATCCAAAGCAGGCTCCAGGCTCCAAGCTGTCAGCACAGAGCCCGATGCACAGCTCGAACTCATGAACCATGAGATCATGACCTGAGCCAAAGTTGGATGCTTAACCAACTGAGCCACACAGGAGCCTCAGAACAGTTAGTTTTAAACATTGGTCTCTACCAAACATACACAGACACACCAGCTTAAAGTCGAATATTCTATATCAGAACAATGATACAATTGATATAAATAGGTGTAACCTGGGGCACCTGGGTGGCTCAGTTGGTTAAGTGTCCAACTTTGGCTCGGGTCATGATCTTACAGTTTGTGAGTTCAAGCCCCGCGTCGGACTCTGTGCTGACAGCTCAGAGTCTGGAGCCTGCTTTAGATTCTGTGTCTCCCTTGTTCTCTGCCCTTCCCCCACTCGTTCATTTTCTTTCTCTTTCTCTCTCAAATAATAAACATAAAAAAAATAGGTATAACCTTATATTCCATATGAGAGGACAGTTAAAGAAACATAGCTCTTAAATGTTTTACTTTTTCACTATTTCATCAATGTATTTGTCTCTCCAAAACTGTCAAAGGGCAATGCCACTTGAGGAATGACAACATGGAACAATGTGAGCATTTTAATGAATTACAATGTTCTATTAATGGTCTTGGAAATACTAAAATTTAGTCCAATGATTATAAAGTAACAGATTAAAATAAGAGTATTTTTACCAGTAAACACCATGACATACTTTTCAGCATTGTCCTCTGCTCTTTCCTGCTCTTCCTGCCAATGACTACTGAGTTCTTCCATGTGCACATTTATTACATCTCGAATCACCTTAGGAGAGATAAGCACCCAGTCTCAGATAAGAAAGTTTTTTCAAAAAATTAAGACTATAAAGCTAGAAAAATCACTGCTAGCAATCATTCAAATATTTACTAAGACTTATGACAAAATGGACTGTGGGACATGAGCAGTTCAGAGAACATAAAAAAATTCTGTGATCAAATTAGAATATGAATAGTAGATGAAAGTACAATAGGGGCGCCTGGGTGGCTTAGTTGATTAAGTGGCTGGCTTTGGTTCAGGTCATGATCTCACAATTTAGGAGTTCAAGCTGCACATTGTGCTCTGTGCTGACAGCTCAGAGCATGGACCCTGCTTCAAATTGTGTTTCCCTCTCTCTCTGCCCCTCCCCTGCTCAGTCAGTCTCTGCCTCTCTCTGTCTCTGTCTCTCAAATAAATGTTAAAAAAAAAGAAAGTACTATAATCGTTGATAAACTTGCTAGTTGATCACTATCTTATGATTAAGAAAAAATATCCCTATTTTTAAGAAATACATAGTAAGTTTTTAGTGACAAAAAAAAATATCATGGATTATGTAACTTAAATAGTTCAGAAAAAAAATATTGTATAGACAGAGATCAAGAGAGAGAAAAATGTACAGATGGAGAGAGAATGCAAATGAAAAGCAAATGGGACAAAATGTTAACAACAGGTGATCTGGGTAAAGGATATTCAGGAGTTGTTTGTACTATTTTTAGTTTTTCACCGTATAAAACATTATAGTCACTTCACAGATAGTTTCCTTTAAGATTATACAAACACCTTACCTGTAAGAACCATTTGGAAGTTTCTTTCTTTCTTATTTATCCATGCCATCAAGCACAGGACTAGTCAACTGGGAAGCACAGATGAAACTAAAATAGAAGTTGACACTTCCCTCATGCCTAATTAGGAAATGTTTTAAAAAGATACAGGGGGCAAGGGGCAATCTCAAAGACAAACACTAGAAAGTTCAGTTCTGACAGAGTTTCTCCCCACTTCAAGGAAACTTTCAATGGCTCCCAAAGTAAAATGGAACAGTGTCCAAATTCCTTAAGAGCCTTTGAAGCCTTTCATGATTTTACTACATCACATAGTGGAAACCAGCCTTGTCTCCTACTGGATGGTCAGAAACCCTAACCATTAGCCATCCTGGATTACTAATGGGTCCCTGGAAAACTGTACTTCCATTCATTTTTAGGAACACTAGCCCTTCCACCTGCAATATGCTCATCCACCACTTCCCCTCCTCCACCATATTCTCCTGAGAAAATCTAAGAAGTGTCAAGGAGACACCCAGAGAGTGACACCAGTCACAGGCACCTGAATTCCAATTCTAGCTCTAACACTTCCCAAGTAGCCCTACATCACTCCCTGACTAGCTCTACATGAACTCCGGGAAGCCCAAGTGTTATTGGACACAGTTTCCACAGACCTGACCTCACACAGATTTGCCATAGGAAAGAGCTGATGAACATTCTTTACCCTTCCTGCTTCTCCCTGTCCTTCAAATGCTATGTTCACTGTGAACCCCATACCAATCTTATCTTTTAAAAAGAATCACTCCTTTCTCCCATATACTTTGATCTCACTTTATTTTAGCACTGAATGCAAGCTGTATTTTGAACGTTCTGTTCCACGTGTTATAAACTGTTCTAAGCTCCTTGAGGGCAGTGACTGTGTGCCATTTATCTTTACCTACCCAACAGCAGTGTGTTATGCACAGTAACTATGATAGGTAATACACTTTCTTCTGAAATTTGATAAAGCTCAGGTTTAGTCCAGAGCAAACAAAAATTATAGAGGATATGAACAAAGCTAGAAATAGATAAAATGCTGGAAAAGCCATGACCAGGAATATGATAAATTACTGAAAGATTTGTAAACACTGAAGTTTTTACAGATGAAAGGTATTTGGGATCTGCGTCCAAAATTACCAATGTGGAGAAGGAGGAGGGAGGCAGCAAGTGAGGATATAAATAAAATGACAAGGCCAGATGTTGATAATTGTTGAAGCTGAGTGACAGGAACAAAAGGGTTCATTGTACTATTCCACCCACTTTAGCATATATTTGAATATTTCCATAATAAAAAGTTAACCACAGGGCCGCTTATCTAGCTTAGTCTGAAGAGCATGCAGCTCTTGATCTCTGGGTTGCGAGTTTGGGCCCCATATTCGGTACAGAGATTATTTATGTAAATAAACTTAAAAAAAAAAAAAAGGTTAACCATAAAATGGTGAAGAACACTAGCAGCAACACTTACACTTGATTACAAGGTACTGAGACCAGAGAAGACAACTGATGAACCACCAAGTTATTTAAGGGACTGTACGAATACTTAGGTAATATGATGAGGTCCCAGATCTTGACTGGAAGAGGTAAGACTGAAACATATACTTTAATTGTACAAAGAACAGCATAAGATTAAGTGTTAAGCTAACAATAAAGCAGCAAATGACTGAGTCAACTAGCACCTCATGGAAACAATGGGCCTTAAAGTTTGTATCAAGATTTAAAACAGCAATAATAAAGGGCATTTCAGGTGAGAAAATATGTTATTTGGACATGGAGATAATAAATGTGTGTAATCAGATATAGTTTAAGAGACACAGTTGACTAAAGCAAAAGAAAATGCTTGGTGAAATGAGGCCAGATTATGGAGGGTCTTAGAAATCATAGAGAGAAGTAAGAAATAATGTGGGATGAATTTAGAGATTCAATGAGGAAATTATTTGTAGAGTCTGGGCAAGGTAATTCACGTACCAAAAAAATTAATCAACTCTATCCACTAAAGGACATCTGAAAATAACTTATATGACATACATCAAGAGACCAATATATAATTTATGCCAGACATTTCTTAAGCCCAAACATTTACAAGAGTATATAAAAACACACTAACATTTCTGTAAAACACAACAGCAACTTGTTGACCAACTTCTGTGTCTACACACATTATCTCAATCAATTCTTACAACAACCTGCAGAGTCTACATAAAATATATAAAATGAAAAAAATTGAACCTTAAAAAACTCAAAGAACTTGTTCAAGTCAGATAGCCAATGATAACCAGCACAATCAACACTCAAACCCAAAACTATGCTCTTATCATGATACAATGCTTTCTGAAAAGTAGGTATTTTTTAAGATTGTACAGCCTCTTTACATAAGATTTTTGTACCATGAAAAGGCTTTCTTTGCCTGGTACAGTGGATCTGAAAGTAATGGAGCAAATACAAATCAGGTGTGGCCACCTTGAAGCTATTTTCTTTCAGAAAACCTCTAAGAACTGTGGAAATCCACAGAATAGACTTAGAAAACTATTGAAGGGAAATTCTGTTCTCAACAAAGCTCTAAGAGATTATGTAAAACTTACCTCAGTATATGATTTCTTGGTTATGTGAACATTCTTAGCTCTATAGGACTGGCGTCTTCTTTTATAATCTCTGACTTCTGCCAGAATTTCAAGGTAAGACTTTGGACTTTTTCGACTATTATCTAATGAAAGAACAAAACAGAATTATTATATCCTTGGAAGCTTTTAAATTCTTATTAATTAGCAGGAAAAAAGATCACAAACATCCCATATTTCAACATGTTTCCATGCATACAAAAACATCCTAACAATTCCATACTATACAAATAGGCTAAGTTTTATATCATTCCTTTTCTCCATTAGGTGACCCTAAGATTGTTAAGGTACAAAGATTAAAAGACCAGCACAGCTGTAGGTAACATTCTTATAGAAGGAAGGTATGCTGAATATAAAAGACAGAGAGCAAAATTTCATGCACCAAGTAAACATCTTTATATGAGAATATCAGATAATGCAAAACATCCTCTTCCAACTCAAAGTGGCCTGACAACTAAATCTTATAACACGCAAAGAATGAAATGACAATTATGAAATATTCATCTCAAACCTTGATTGACTTTGGCAGCCAAATCTACAAAGAGATCACTGTCATTTTCAATAATCTGAGAATCCGAGCGCTGTTTCTTTGTCTCCTCCATTACAAAATCATAGAGGGCAAGACGATCAGCTTGTGTCAGATCACAAACAAACCGTTTGTGATTCAGAGGAACTTCAACAGGTAATGAAGAGTAAATCCCTAGTAAAAATAAAACCACAAGAATAAACAATACATGAAGCATTGTGGACTTAAAATCTACTCCGTATCTTTAAACATGCGCTGCAATAATGCAATATTAACACAACTGTTTTCACAGTAATCCCTAAAATATACAAAATATCCACCTGTGATAAATGATAAACAATGACTTTATCCTCAAAGCCATACCCACAGAAAGCATGTACTGTGGATGTTTGCTATTCTCTCCGACAACTTTAAGACAGATCCCATGAAGGCAGGCAATAATAACCATGAGATAATCTGCTCATAAGGAAACCTTCTGGGTAACAATTTTTAAAAGGTTACTCGAGTGATAAAAATAGTAACTTTCTTTCTGTTTATATGCTTTTCCCCATAAAAGAAAAAATGCTTTTAATAGGTAATACACATTGTCATCCCTCTGAAAATACATTACGGAAATATGAAAAATGTGTAAAAAAGGTCTTTTTTATACGAGACATCAAATTAGATGTTCCATACTCAAAATATACCCCACCTGTGCAATGACTTAGAGCTAGGGGCCAAAACACAATTAATTAAGTAGCAGAAATCCCAAACTCATACCAGAGAAAGACAAATTAAACTGAGACTAAATTTGTTTTAATTTTCTGAAAAGGAAGCATACTGGCATAACCAAATTAATTTCAAAGAGTTAGTGTCCCCCCCAACAGTCAAAGAACTTTCTAAAATCTGCTCGTTAATGAAAGAAAGTAAATACAATACCTTGACATGATGTATTAAACATTGAAGAAAATTTTTGTTTTGAGATTCAAATTTTCTCAAGAAATAAAAATTAATGGTAACTGTAAATAAAGCAATTGTTTTAACACAATTCTTTCTATCCTTCATTATTCACTGATGCAAACAATGAATAGGAGCTACTACCCTAAAGGAATAACTCTGATTCACAGAACAAGGTAAGATCAGTAGCTCTTCCCAGATACTTTTATTTGATAAAGTCTAACCTTGACTTCCTAGGTAAAGAGGCAAAAGAAAAATTCAAATAAGAGCAAACTATCATCTAAGCACTACAACACAACAAGAGAGATGACTTTACATTTGTCTACATTAAGAGGAATGCTACATTAATATGAGTCCATGAATAGATACAGATAACAATACAAGGTCATTTGTATTAGTCAAAGGGTTTTGAATTAGTAGAGAAGGGTTTCTTTTCAAATCAATCAATTTTACTCTAATTGTGGTAGACACTACAAAAAGCTTTTTGATGAAAGCAGATGTGAAAACATTTAATTTTGTACCATAAAAATGAATTAGCTTTGATAAGCCTAATTCTTGTGAATATAGGCTATAAAAATCTGGGAGAAAAATACACAGATTAGAAAACACTGATATAGTACAAACAAGCTCCACATAAACCTTTGCCTATTATTTTTAGACAAAGAAATATAATTTGCTCTTTAAATTATTTTGGAGTTGTCTTTATTCATCTTAAATTTCTGTATGGTGATGATTGATACCTAAATTCCTTGAAATTCAACGAAAATTCCAAAGACTATAATACTGTGACAGTGGTTAAGATCAAGTTTAGAAATTTGAGTGATACTTTTAAAAGGATATCATTTGCAAAAAGGATACTGCATATCTTTAAATAAGGAGTATATTCAGGTTCCTAATTCCTCTTTATACTCACCCCAATTACTGAAAAAGAAAAAGTACAGGAAAAGTTAAACAACAAACTGCATTCAAATCATTCAGAACATAGATATTTCTGACCAAAAAAAAAAAAAAGGATAAACACAAATAAGCTTACATTTCCATAAAATGTAAATTTTTAAACACAAGCTTCTATAGGATTTAGAAATACACCTCGATGTGCTGTAATCATATTAAATTCTATGATCCTCTACTTTTTTTGTAGTAGCTTTTTAAAAGTTGTGGTAAAATATACATAACATAAAATTTACCATCTAACCACTTTTAAGTGTAGAGCTCAGTGGCATTAAGTATATTACATTGTTTTGCAACCATAACTTTGTCCATTTCCAGAACTTTTTCTTCACCCAAATTAAAACTCTAATCTACCTTTTTAGTAACTCTAATTCTTTCTTTTTCGCCACTTTTGCCATCACAGAGCATCTTAAACATATGATATATAAAATATTAAACATTAATAAAAAGTACTGGCTCAAAGATACAAATTCAGAATTTTAGGGAGAATTCATAATGTCAATTTCCAACATCAGAAATAAAGAAATTAAGGCCAATAGAGGTAAAATTATTTGCCCAAGTCTCACAAGTGGCAGGAACAGATTAGGCCTAGAACCAATCTACTTGGGTCTCTTGAAGGTTTAGTATAATACACTGATCTTCTAATCATGGCCATGACTCAAATATAGTCAGGAAATTGAAATATAGCAAATAATACTGAAAGAAAAGTATAAACCACTAAATGTAAAATGACTGTTTATGTTAAAATTAGCATCTTGGTTATAAAATTAACCAAGGTTTTTATATCTGATAATAAGTACATCTCATGGTTGCTTCAAGCTTTCACAAAAGTTAATGAATTGAGAATTCTGTACACTGAGTGAAGACCTGGTATGACTGACGAAATGGAAACATAAATATAACTTATCAAAAAACTTACAACTTAGTACATGACACACAAAATATTAATTAAATGGCAAAACATAAAATTGCTTATGTTACATTCTTCTGAGTAAATAAATCAGTAATGTATTAAAAGAGATTCTTGTTCTAGGCTATAAGATTTTAAAATGTCTAACATATAAGTGGATCACAAAAATAAGGTTTTTGAAAAACTGCAGAACTCTACACAAGATGAAAAAAAGTTTTAAAAAGAGGGTTACAGATCATATAAAAAAATTCTTAATAGAATTTAAAGAATTTATTAAGTTAAATCTTACTAGAGTACAAAAACAAAAGCTTCTCTTAACTTTCCTACTGTAGGAACTATTCAAAGTAATTCTTTGCTTTTGTAAGGAACTAAATTCAATGTCTAATCTACCTTATTACTTAGTTAAAATAAATTTAAAAACTTGAGAACATTTTCTAAATTACTCACATATATAAAATTCTCATCCATTTCATTATCTTAATATGGCTTTCTGTACATTAATGTGCTTAGAAATTAAATTGCTAAACAACAGAAACTATTAGAGCTAGTACTAAACTAGTACTAGCATTAATTATCTCCATTACTCTAAACATTGTAAGATAGTTTTATACTATAGGTAAGGAAACAAAACCTCAGAAAAACTGGCATTTATACCAGGCCAAGAAACTAGTTTCTTTCTTTAAAATAGGCTTACAAACTAGAATAAACAATGAAAACTACTAATAATAGCAGCGTCTGGTACAGATTTGAGGTCTGTGATATTCTTGTACTTATTTATAATAGACATAATAAATAATGAATATATTTGAGCAATATCTAGAATCTTAGTCCATAAATTTCACTACATGTTCAGAATATGTACCAAAATTCAGAACTTGGCTCTCAATCCAGCTTTGCTATTAGCAAGACTGGCTATTATCTAACAAAGGAGTGTTAAACCATTTCTGTGTGTCTCTATTTCTTCTCCTAATATTGTAAGGGAAAGTATATGTCCAGATTATCTCAAGTTTGTTATGAAAGAGAAATAAAATACATAAAACAGCTACAAAAAGAGAATCTCTTTTAAAAATCTGAAGTATTAAGAGCCTTCAGAACAAACACATCAGAACCTTATCATTACTCTCTAGAGTATTTCCTTATCTGTAAATCACAGATGCCAGATTAGACGATCTTCCAGTTCTCTTTCAAATCTAAAATAAATTCAGCAAACATATCTAACTAGTTAAAGTCAAAAAGGCGTTTAACTATTAACCCCTCCCAAAAGACAAGAGCAAAATCCTCTACATTTTTTTGGTTAACTAAACTGGGGGTAAGGGATAGAATCAATAATAAGGGCCAAAAAAAATGGCTTGACTGATCAGAGCTCAGTAAGCTCTTCAAGTAAGAGTTAAATGTTTCCCTCAAAGAAAACCACTCTGGAATTTAGCAAAAAGTACATAAAAATGGGAGCTTTAAAACAGGAAATACAGGAAATGTGCTCCTGACTGTTGCATGGAACCAATGTAATATACACCAAAGGTAAGAGAGCTCCTCCTCCTGAAGCCACAGTGCAAGTTAAGAAAAAAATCAAGCCTAGATAGTGGCTTAGAACAATGGGTAAAGACTGAATTTCAACAAGGGAGAAATAAACCTTAACTATGGGCTAATGAATATAACTGAGCTAGAAAGAATGAGGGGAGGAAAAAAAGGTAAGATGTCCAGAGCAATCTATTTTTAGAAGATTCAAAGACAACTAAGAAACCATTATAAGAAGAGTCAGTAATATAGCTCTGGCTATATGTTAAAGCTAGGTTCAGAAACCTATTAACTCTATTTACTCATTTACCTCTATGTTTTGGATGGATTTTGTTTCCTTTTCATTTCCTAAAATCTCATACTTAAAAATTCTAATCTAGTCTCTGTTAAAGTAAGTCCCTAGAAGAAGGGACTGGGCATGAAGGGATCCACAAACTTTCTGAAACTGTATGTAAAACTTTGTGTTTGGGCTTTATTCTAAAATTCTCTTTCAGCCTAAGCCTTTCCTTTCATATTGCATTTCAATATTCTTACATTTAACAATGGGCTAATTCTCAAGAAAGGAAAGAAATCTCAGGGTTAGACAATCTCAGTGGGATTTAGTTACCAAATAATCAGAATTAAAATGATCCACAAGATAGTCTCACCTATTAGGTGATTCCAAAGCATGAAACCCAAGCTAAGACAATGGCCCAGTGAGACTCTGATATATTTGAGCAGAAAATATCTAACAAATGAAGTTGACACCAAACACTTTGTCCTAATGTTAAATGTAAAACAATTTTTTCCGTGTAACGATTTCCGCAAGATTTTTCTTAAAAATTAGTAACGTGCTTAAAAAATAGTTTGAATCATTAATTAGCTCAAACTATGCTGCTACTTACTTTGATTATAACAATCACCATCTTTCCCAACTGCAGTTCTAGCTTGTTTAATTATCTGGAATTGTGAGTCCTTATCTGTCAAAAAAGTACCCGTAAACACAGAACGAATCATCAGTGACCACAATTAAATTATTAACTTGTTTCTAATCCAAGCTCTTTGGGCACACTGACAAACCTTCCAAAATTTTAAAAGCAAAAACACCCACATTGCTGCCCAGGTAATCTGAACGCAGAAATTCATATCTAGCTAGAACTCAGTAAGTAACTAGACTTCAAGCAGTTCAGAAAACATTACCATCAGGCATGCTGCAGTAGTTGTTGCAAATTTGAGCAACCAATCAATAACAGCTACCATTTCTTGATTCTACCTAAGCGTCAAGCACTCTTCTAAGCATTTTACATAAATATATCATTTCATCCTCACAAAGGTGCTATTATCATCATCCCCCATTTTATGACGAAATTTAGGCAACAAAAATGTTAAATGACCTTGTTGAAAAATCACAAATATATTAGTGACAAAAATTAAAATCAGGGCATTCGGATTCTAGGGCCTGAGATTTTAACCTCTATATATGCTGTTAACACCTGGAACACACTCACATTTCCATATTCAGGCTGCAAACTGTGTGTGTGGCCAGATTTTTGTCATAACCAAGAAAGAAGGCATCTGTCCACTGCAGAAAGCTTTGCATGGTTTTCATGGCCTATTAATATAAGCCTCATCTCTAAATTTCAGATTAAGCACACTACTTTCACTGTACATTAATTAATCCTACACTCTTTCTGGGTATAAAATGTGCTTCTTAATCATAAGAGTACTAAAAAGTCCATTCTTTTGATAATTCAAAAATGAAATATCAATGCCTATACTAAGATATTTTTTAAATTATAATCTATTAAATACTTACTCAAAGTAATTGAAGGTACCTTCACATTCTCATAAAAAAAATCAGAATTATACATCTTATCCTAAATGGTAAAAACAAAAAAAAGTTAGTATTCTTGAGTAACAGATAATTGACTATTTTAAGATTTGACGTGAACTAAAGACTATATCGTTTAACTATTGAAGAAAATTTGTGAAATTAGGTAAGTACCATTCCACCCCACAAATGACTATTCTTCCATGTCAGAAAACCTCACGCTCTACCTTCTGAATACTGTAAATTTATTAATTTGGGAATTACACAACATATACATAATAAATATATAGTACCTCTTCTTCTTTGGTATAGCCCAGTTTCCTCAATCTACAAGATACCATGTGCTTTGCTAAAGATGATTTAGGCATGTGATGATTGGAATCATAGGGGCATATCACAACTTCATCCTATAAAAAAGAAACAGAAGCAAAAAAAAAAGGGTTACATAATATTTAAATAAATGATTATACCATTAAAGTTTACTACTCGAGTAAGTGGTACTATCCATTTATCTCCTCTTCCCCAACCTCCTGTGTGATGCATGTGCCCATTAAAAACAAAAACAAAAAACCTCCCTCCCTCAATCTCTCTCTCCTTTATAGCCCTCTCTCCAGTCCTTCAAAGCCCAACCCTTTGAAAGATTTGTTTACAAACTACCAGTCAGGAGGTCACTAACAATCATCTCATAGCCAAAGCACATGTTAGACTCTTTAATGTATGTTAACTCTAAGAAGGTTACAATCCAATTGTTAGTTTCTGTTATCCTCATACAATCTTCATGTCCCACCTCTCTGGTTCCTTCTACTTGGTCTCCTCTGAAGACATCTTCCTTGGAGCACCTGGGTGGCTCAGTCAGTTAGCAACCGACTTCAGCGCAGGTTACGATCTGATGGTTCATGGGTTTGAGCCCCGCATCGGGCTCTGTGCTGACAGCACAGAGGCTGGACCCTGCTTTGAATTCTTGTCTCCCACCCTCCCTCCCCCTCTCTCTCAAAAATAAATAAATATTTAAAAAAACTTTTAATGTTTATTCATGTTTTGAGAGACAGAGAGAGACAGAGTGTGAGTGGGGAAGGGACAGAGAGAGAGGGAGACACAGAATCCGAGCAGGCTCCAGGCTCTGAACTGACAGCACAGAGCCCAACGCAGGGCTCAAACTCACGGACCATGAGATCATGACCTGAGCCGAAGTTGGATGCTCAACCAACTGAGCCACCCAGGCACCCCTAAAATATTTTTTAAAAGGTGCCTTCTTTGTTCTACCTGTACCCCTTTAAATGTTGTTTTACAAAAGTCAAACCAGTGACTTTGTGCCATTTGATATACACTTACTAGAAGATATCATGGCTTCAATTTCTACCATATAGTAAGGATCTCCAAATCTAGATCTTTAGACCTGGATTCTCTCGTGAATACCTTATACTAAAAACACTAATAATTCACTATTAACAAAAATAAATTCATTATTTTCATGGTCTCCTGACCGTTAAGCCTGTTGCTCTTGTATTTCGCACTTTCAGTGAAAGGTCCCACCTCCTCTACTAGAAAACCGTTCCTTCTCCCTCATCACTGACATGTAATCACCTAATCCTTTTTACTAAGTAACTCTGAAATCCTACCACATAATCCATCCTCAATGGCACTTCCCCGCTTCAGGACATCATCCTGGATTACAACAGCCATTGCCTAACCTCTATGCTTCCAGACTTGCTGTCCCTTCCACTCTTCACAATGCAGCTCCTTTGAATCCTAGGTCTGCCACTTACTGATTACATGAACTTCGTTCAGGTACTTAACCTTTCTTTGTCTAAGTTTAAGTTTCCTCATCTATAAAATGGGTATAATAGGACTTCTCTCACAGATCTATTGTGAAGATTAAATAAGCTTAATAAATGAGTTTATACACATAAAGCAATTCAAACAGGGCCTGGAACATAGCAAGTATTCAATAAATGTAAGCAATTATTATTTTATTAAAAGGCAAATAGGGGCGCCTGGGTGGCTTAGTCGGTTAAGCGTCCGACTTTTGCTCAGGTCATGATCTCGCGGTTCGTGGGTTCGAGCCCCGCGTCGGGCTCTGTGCTGACAGCCAGCTCGGAGCCTGGAGCCTGTTTTGGTCTGTGACTCCCTCTCTCTCTGACCCTCCCCTGCTCACGCTGTCTCTCTCTCTCTCTCTCCTAGAAATAAATAAAAATATTTAAAAAAAAAAAAAAAGGCAAATATGATGATATAGTACGGCTTAAAATACTCCCATGGCTCCTCATTAAAAAAAAAAAATCCAGATTCTTTAATATGGCCTACACAAGGACCTTTAAGATCTGGACCCTTCCCACCATCATCCCCCTCCTTCTTTATAGCCTATGCTTAGCTATCCTTAACAACCTCAGGTTTCCTGATCTGGTCACACCCTTTTCTCTGGACTTCTACGCCTGCCGCCTGCCGTTGATGCTTCCCCCTGTGCTTCAGCCAGCTGATTTAGCACACTTCTATCAGCAGAGAATGCACTTTATCCAGGAACCCTCTACTGTCCTAGGACAGCCTACAATAACCTGTACTGCAGCTACTCACAGACTTTATCACACTGCAATGGAGGCTGATTTCTCTGGATTCCCCCTCACCACACCCACACAGTAAGCTCTGTGACAGGACCTGTGACTGTCGTTCACTGCATTTCAGCATTAAAACACTCCAGCAGTGGGGCGCCTGGCTGGCTCAGGCTCTTGAGTGTCAGACTTCGCCTCAGGTCATGACCTCACAGTTCGAGTTCCAACCCCATGTAGGGCCTGGAGCCTGCCTTGGATTCTGTGCCTCCCTCTCTCTCTCTCTCAAAAATAAATAAAACATTTAAAATTAAAAAAAAAATAAAACATTCCAGCAGAAAAGTGAGGCTTTGTTAACTATCTGGACAGCACCTATTCCAGGAACAATGGCTCTCAAGTACCAGGATTTTTAAACCAATCACTCTCTTGAATAGCAGACCTTGGTTCTGTAAAATTTAGATGTACACTCACAGCTAATTGTCGTAATTTTATAATTTTACAACGAAGTGTTAGAGGGGCAGCACAGCAATTAAACACACACGGTCCCAGGAGCCAGAATGCCTGGGTTCAAAATCCCAATGGCCATTTACTAGCAGTGTGTCCTAGGTGACAAATTACCACCTGTCTGGGTTTGTTTTCTCATCTGTAACACGCGGCTAACAGTACCTACCTCATAAGGTAACTAAAAGCATTAAACGGGTTAACTAACCTATATAAGCAAAGTGGGATATAAGTGTTATTAGAAATTTCAGTGGTAAGGAAAGGTGGGGGAGGTCCCGTTCAATGGAATTCACAGATTCAAACAGTAAAGACCTTTTTAGGGCAGCCTGGGTGTCTCAGTCATTTAAGCATCCGACTCTGGGTTTCTTGGTTTCCACTCAGGTCCTGAACTCACAGTTTGGTGACTTCTAGCCCCACTTAGGGTCTGCGCTGGCAGACGGGGGGGTGCTTGGGATTCTTTCTTCCTCTCTCTGCCCCTCCCCCCCACTCCCACGGTCTTGGTCTCTCTCAATTAAATAAACTTTTTTTTTTTAAAAGATCTTTTTCAAATTTCCGCCAAGACTTTAATAAACGTGAGTTGTGTGTAAACTAACTATACTCTAAGTGCCTTTTGGGAATCAGTCTTGTCTTCTAACCTGGGAGAAATTAGTAGAACGCGATAAACCCAAGAAGAGTATTAGGGATCATGAATTATCCGGGAGTGAAGCACTTCGGTTCTTCCCGCCCATGAAAAATAACCAAAAATCAGGGTTGTTCGCTCTAATACACGTGCCTACATTTTTTAAAGCAATTCTAATGTTCCAAAGAGTTGCTAGCCACCATCTCTTAGGGAAATGCTCTAATAATCCCAGAACCGGTGCTGCCCCAGTCAGAAGCGTACAATTTTAAGGCAGAGAAAGGTGAATTCCCAAGCACTCTCCTGCCGCCGAATCTGGTGCCAACCGCGGCATCCATGTGACAGATGACAAAGCAAAGGGCCCACCTCTGCTAGCAGCACTCCGATTCGCCCGTCTTCTAGGGAAACCCCAAACCTGCCAGCCCTCCTCACCCACCTTCTCAAACCCACGCTCTGCGCGAGGAGCGCCGCGCACGAGGCGGCTGCGGGGCGTTCGGGGTCCCCCGCGCGCCCCACCCGAGGCCCGCAGCCGACCAGGCCGGGTCCCGGGAGCCCCCCACGGCGCCGCAGACCGGCAGGGGCTCCCACGCGGACTCCTCCCCCCACCCCCAGAAAAGACCACGGCCGGAGGGCCCCCAAAAGGACCCTGCGCGCAAGCTGCCCTCACCTCTGCCGCCCCCTCCTCCCCGGGGTCCAGGCGATCCAGGCTCCAGCCCAGGGACGCCGTCACCTCCTCCAGCGTCCGGCAGCAGCCCTCCACGAACTCGCTCAGCTCCTGCTGCAGCCGCCGCCGCTCCTCCACAGGCGGCGGTTCGCCCTCCATGGCGGTGGGACCCATCCCGCCACAAGGAAGCGGCCGAACCGCCGGCGCCTCGCGCGGGCCTCTGGGAGCCGTGGGCGGGGCCAGGCCACCACGTGACTGGAACCGCCAGTAGGAAGAGGACCCGGAAGGAGCGGAGCTGTCATTTTGAGAGGTGTTCCAGGGTCTCTTCCCGGTGTTACCGCCTGTGTAATTGCTCCCGGATGCGTTTGCGCCGGAGAGTCTCTGGACTGCATTCCCGCCTGCCCACCCCCCCAAAAACATACCAACACACACACACACACACACACACCAAAAAATGGTTTATATCGCCCTTTCCTCAGTTGCCTCTACGATGCTCCGTCCTTCCGATGAGGCCAGGCCACGTTGGGATGAGACCTTCATCTGGCACTAGCACCAGCTCCTGGCAGCTCCCACTGGGCACTCGCCCGAACTTTGGCCTCTGTCGGATTTCGCCTGCATCGACACGGCCGTCATCCTGCACGACGATGAAATGGCAGTCACGGATGGGAGGATCAATGCCCTCATTAAATGTTGAACCTTTCTGGCCAGGCTGCTTTGGAAAGGTCCTGGCCGGTGTCACCATCAGGAGCCTCAGCTCAACGTAGGGGCTGGTGGACCTGCCCCAGCGCCTCGCGCTGCGCCAGCCAAGGTTCTGCCCTGTCCACCTCTGCTGTCCCTGCTAAGAAGAAAGTGGAAGCAAAGAAGAAGAATCCGATGAGTCTGATGATGGCATGGGCTTTGGGTCTTTTTGACTAAACCTCTTTCAACATGTTCAAGAAAAAACTGAACTTCCTTTTTTTAATGGTTTGTAACTACAGAAAGTTTAAAGAGTAGTACAAAGAATATTTGCAAAGCCGTCCTCCAGCTGGTTAACATTTGCCCACGTGTGCTTTTTCTTGCTCTCTTCACACACACACAGCCTCACATACTTATTTTGCAGAATTATTTAAGGATCAATTGTAGCTGCTTCAACCCCCAAATAGGTCCGTATGCATCTCCTAAGAATAAGAACATTGTCCTACATAACCACCATGTATGTTCAAACCACAGACAATTAATCTCATAATACCATATAATGTTAAGTTTATATTCAAATTTCCCCAGTTGTCCTCCAAATTCCTTTCATAGTCATTTGATTAGTTTTTTCAACCCATGAGCTGTAATTGGCTCTTGTCTCTTTCAATCTAGAATGTCTCCCTACCCTCCTCTTTAAAATTTTTTTAAAGTTTTTTAATTTATTATTGAGAGACAGAGAGAGACAGAGCATAAACATGGAAGGGACAGACACAGAATCTGAAGCAGGCTCCAGGCTCTGAGCTATCAGCACAGAGCCTCATGTGGGGCTTGAACCCACAGCCCATGAGATCATGACCTGAGCTGAAGTCAGATGCTTAACCAGCTGAGCAACCCAGGCACCCCTAAAATTTTTTTAATGTGTATTTTTTTTTTGAGAGAGAGAAAGAGAAAGGGAGAAAGGAAGAGGAGGAGAGAGAGGGAGAGTCCAAAGCAGGCTCCAGGTCTGAGCTGTCAGCACAGACCCTGAGGTGGGGCATGAAATCACAAACCACAAGGTCATGACCAAAGCCCAAGTCAGATGCTTAACTAACTGAGCCACACAGGTGCCCCCCACACCTTCCTTTTAAATTAAGTCATTGAATTTTGTCAGGAGCCTCAGCCAGTTATCTTGTAGAATGTTCCTCTTTCTGGATTTGTCAGATTTCCCCCCCCCCTTGTGATTAGGTTTTATTTAATAATTTTGCAAGGAGATGTGAATGCCTTTTTATTACATCTCATAGAGGACACCTATCTTAAATTCTCCTTCTATTAGTAATGCTAAATTTGATCACTTGGTAGATAGCTATATCACTCTGCTGTAGGACATCTTCCTCTGTGGGATGGTACTTTAAAGCCATATGAATGTCTTCTTCCCCAAAAAACTCACACAATCCTTCAGTGAGTTGGTCATTATGTTAGGAGTTATAAATAATGATTCTCTAATATTGTCATGGCTTCTGTATTTGTTACCTGGCCTTCTTACCATAACTTCATTTTGTTTACTATAAAATCAAGGGATTTAAAAATTTTTTTTTAATATTTATTTTTGAGAGAGAGAGAACACAAGCAGGGGAGGGGCAGAAAGAGAAGGAGACACAGAATCCCAAGCGACCTCGAGGCTCTGAGCTGTCAGCACAGAAGCCAATACAGGGCTCCAACCCATAGACTGTGAGATCATGACCTGAGCTGTGGTCAGATGCCCAACTGACTGAGCCACCTACATACCCTGAATCAAGGGAATTTTAAAATCATTATTGATTAATTATTACACTCTGTTACCATCACAATTCTTGCTGATTCTCAAATTGTCCCAACCTTGACCAGTGGAAGCCACTTAAACCACTTCGTTTCTCTGACATGTTCCATTAGTCCTTGACTACTTCCTTTTCCTTTGCTTTGATTAACCCAAGCATACTTTGTACATTTCCTATCCAAGATCTAGAATCAACCCTTTTAATTTCCTCAAATGCTTTTAAGTCCCAGAACCAAATCCCTCTTATATTATTTTTTACTTTTCTCAAGCCAAATGCCAAATTTTTGCTTCCCTTTGTACTTGTTTCCACCCGATGGAAAGTATGGAGGGAATGGCTATTTCTAATAGGCAGATAGTACAGTTTTCTCACCAAAATAAAAAACAAAGTTTTGAGTATAAATAAGCTGTACCCCAAAATACAGAAATGGGCCAAGAGCTGCAAGCAGATGTGGAGTAAGAGATGAATTCCGGTTTATTCATACTTTGTCCACAGAATCCCTACTTTTTATCTGCATTTACATGGTTAGCCCAGCAGCAGCCGGAAAATGTGAGGCTACTTTTGAATGTGAAATGATGACTGTCATTTTCTGTGAAGGCTTGCTGCAGGTGAACCAAATCAAAACTTATCCAAGGTCAAGCATGTCCTGTCTCTAGGACACAGCCTATCTCATCTCAGAGCTTAATGGCAACTTTCGGCAACAGCTTGGAGGTATACTCTTTCAACCCTAAGAACTGCTTTACGTGGATACTTCTTATTCTGTTTAATCACCACTTTTTCTAGAGAGATAGATCTCTATGATAAGCTGAATTGTGTGTTACCCTCACCACCACCACCACCCCCATTCATATGCTGGAGCCCTGACCCCCAATGTGGCTGTATTTGGAGTTAGGGACTGTAAGGAGGTAATGAAGGTTAAATGAGGTCATAAAGATGGGGCTCTAATGTGGTAAAATTCAAGTCCTTCTGAGACAAGCAACACATACCAGGGCTCCCCCCACCCACCCCTACTGCCTACCATCCAAAAAGAGAACTCCCACCAGAAACCAATCTAAGGACACCTTGCTCTTGGACTTCTAGGCTCTAGACTGAGAAATGAATTTAAGTTACATAGTCTATGGCGTCTTGTTATGGCAGCCCAAGCTGACTGATATAGCCTCTTAGCTCTAGCATGAAGATCTTCCATCATATCACCCAACACAGCATTTCCCACATATTTTCCTCTTCCTTTTATATTACAAGGGCTATTTTTGTACCATGTGTTAATACCATGGGATGCATAGCTTTTGGCACAATGTGTAGCACACAGAAGTCAATTACTAGTGAATGAAATTAATTACAAGTCTTCCAGATTGGGAGGGGAGTCAAGGAGTAGAAAAGGAGGTGAGACAATGAAGGAAGGCTGTTTTCATCCCAAGTGCCAAAAGCCCCAATAATTTAAGTATTATCTCATATCTTTTTTGCTCTTCACAATTAACATCATTTTTTCCCCTATTTTCTAATCTATACTATACTTGATATTAATGCATGTTGCTCATATATGAAAGTTGTCCCGCTGATTGCTTTATAGGTGTCTTCTGTCCCCATCCAGACTGCAAATGTCTTGATGTCATTTGTACTGAATATCAAATGTATCGAATCCTCATAGTACCTAGCTTAATACTAGGTATTCAGTAAGGTCATGTTGATGTTAATAACAAGCATCTGGATTTCAAAGTTTCTCTTTGATACAAAGAATAGGTTTATATCTCATTGTCCTTCAACAGAGAGCCAAAAACTCTTCAGGACTCATTTTTATAAATCCAAGGACAATTCACACCTTTGAGGGGATAAATTAAACACCATATATTTTGAGTATACCCAAAATAGAATCTTAGCCACTTCATTTTTTTTGATGGTATTATGGCTTTTGCCCATGCTACTTAGAATTCACTGTCCAGGATAAACAAGAAGTGATGTGTGGCCTGGCCTCTTTACACAGGCTTTTTCCCCAAGAACTCTGCCTGGTATATAACAGGTACTTGAGAAATGTTAAAAAAAAAAAAAAAAAACTAAAAAAGACAAAGTTCTAACAAGAATTCAGAACTAAGGTAGTTTTTTTTTTTTTTTAAATAGTCATCCTTAATAGGTACTTAGTCCACAGAAGGTTTTAGACATATTAACAAAATGATGCTGATAAATGCCTTGTGTGTATAAACATATGAAATCAAAACACAGAAACTTCAAAAGTCTAAAAGTTTATTGCCAGAATAGCAAACTTCATAAAGACACCTTTTGAAAGTACGTAGGAAATGACAAGCAAAATAAACAGAACACTTTGACCAAAGAAAAGGAAAGATTGCTGCCATCACGCACATATAGTCAAATTAATGCCAAACCAAACAGGTGCACTGAAGAGTATAGAGGTTACACAGTCCATAATCTAAAACTAAAGGGGACTCATTCCAAAATGTTTGGGTTTGGGGTGGAGGCTTCTGGGGAGAATGGGAAGGGTAATTTTCTCCTAATACAGAAAATGGAAATATTTAGATGAAACACAGAACGATGGCTAGAATATCAATGATCAATTTAATTTCATCTCTAAGAACAGAAATCTGTATTATAGGCCAAAAGAAATACAAGAATCGATCAAAAAACTAAACACAGAAGGAACAAACTCTAGGTTCAATTTGTGCTATCGTTACAACTGATTACCATTTCATACACACTACAACCAGTGTATTAGATGTGTTAGGCGAACTGAGAAGATAAAAAGCCAGAACAGCCTTTAGTATTTGATTTCAACCAAGGTTATATCTTCTTAATCACAGAAAGTTCTATCTCTATACTGCAAGCACTAGGTTTTTCTTTGTTAATATTTAGCAAAGTGAAAATTCACATAAATGAAGCCAAGGAAATAGCAGCTAACTGACTACTAGTGCCCAATGGAGCTACTGCTAAAGGTGTAGGAATAGGAGTAGGAAGAATTTCCCGTTGCATCAAAGCTTCCTCTCCGGGACCCACTTCGGGAACCAGAGCGAGAGCCGGAGCGGGATCCAGAGCGGGAGCCAGAACGGGAGCCCGAGCGGGAGCCTGGGGCAGAAGACATGTTGTAAGGGCTAGGCAAGCCCTTGGAAGAAACAGAGGCGGCCTCCAGAAGGCGTAGGCCAGTGATATCTTCCACCATGGAGCGATTCAT